AAAAAAAAAAAAAAAAAAAAAAAAAGAAAAAAAAACAATAACAATCCAAGTGCTTTTTTAACACCCTCGGCTCTGCTAGCGCCGTATAAAGTTTACGGGTTACTTTGAATACACGTGGATACATAAACGCAGGCACGCATAAACGCGTGTATTTTTGCCTTTTAATTTTATCGAGGTCGTGACTCTGTTGTTCTCTGGTTTAAAAGTTTCACAAAAAATAGAAAGTATTTAAAAGCACAAAGGCTAGATTGTAAAAGGAATAGTAATAAGGGAGTAGAGGAAAAGCTACTCACCGGTGACTTTGATGTGGTAAGGCAGCTGGGCCCTCCAGGTGTCCTGCATCTTCCGATCCGGGGCTACGCAGTGGTACTCGCCCGCGTCCTGGTAGACGACCCTGCTGAGCGAGAGCGAGCCTGGCCCACCCACGGGGTCCATTCCCGGGCCGTGGCCCCAGCAGCCGCCGTCGCACTCCAGGGTCACGGCGCCGCCGATCTGCACCTCCATTTTCCGCGAGTCCGTCGCCTCGCCGTTCAACGCCTCGGCCTCCGTCTCCATTTCTGGGTCGTCTGGACATTGTTATCAACGCTTTGTATTACTTAATCATGCCACAGATTCATGGTGGTGATATACCGTTGTCTCCCTCTTGGAGTGGACGTTTTTTCAATACCACCCGCGTTAAACATTTAGCCAGCCCGTCTGACCATACATTGATTTTTCTACTGTTTTTTTTTTTTTTTTTCGTCCAAGAGCGCGCGATACAATAAACGGGGGCACACCGAGAGGCCATAAAATATGAAACAAAGTACGGTGGGAGAGGGAAGAAAGGCCAATGGAAGGGAACTGATGGAGGTATGAATTATAGATACGTGTTAAGATGTTGGCTACTGGGTGAAGTAGCTTAGAGGGCGGCCGATGGTCTTTTGAAGTGTTTATAAATCTTGGACGAGTAGCTCTGCACATAACTCGATCCACTTGGCTCTTTTTTTGTACGAGAGTAGAGCTGGTTTGAAAATCCACTCGTACCGATTTAAGGTAAACAAAGCCATTATCCCACCGAGATCCGTATATATATACAAGGTGGGGGGAGAAAAATTTGTCCCGTTCCGTGAATCGGGATTTAAAGGAAGAACCAAGCTTTGCCTCGAGATGACCGGATTAAAATTCAACGGCAGCGTTACAGCTGAAACCACGGTGCGCACCGCAAACGTGATATCCCCGATGGCCGTCGCACGGGTGTTGAGCCACGCCGGACGCCAGCGGCACGTATCCTGGATAAACACTCGCGGAAGCATCTTTACCTCCCCCGACTCCCCTTCCCAGGACTTGCGAAATCTCCCTTAACCGCCTCGCGCGCTTTCCTCTTCTGTATTTTCCACCACACGCCCCGGTGTCACTCAAGAGCCCCGTCGTTTGCTTCGTTCTTCACTCGCGCTGATCCTGCCCCCCGAGGATACTGTTATTCCCGTCGTTTCGACCCTCTCGCCCCAAGCTCCATAACCCCGCGCTCCGATTGTATTGGCAAAATGGCTAATTCGGCGAAAAGCTGGGCACCCCGATTTTACAGCACCGGGCGCAAGTTGGGGCATACTTTTGCGCGCAGAGCTGACGCGAAACGATTCAAACGAGCAAGTTTACTCATCGAAAAGTTATCGCGGAGGAGCACAGGGTTACAAAATTACACTTGGAATTAGAATCCCCAGGCTGTACTAGAGAGAAAGAGGGGGGGGGGACGTGGTGACGTCAATACGAGCCGGAAACCACAGCCATTTGTCAGGGACGGAAGCCACCGAGCCGAGCGGAAATTACCAGCGCACCGTCGCGAAAATTTGCAAATTTCCCATCTACCTCGCTCAACCCAGTTGATCTCTCGGTATACCTGCCCCGTTCGCGATCGCCGGGGGGAAAAGGAAATCAAACTCGTCGATTATTTATCCCACCCGATGATCCATCAAAAAGCTCGACCATCTCACTTTTCGCAACTACGTACAATCACGAGATATAACCAGAATCCCCCCCAGGGATATAACGACTTGGCGCCGAGTCTTTTTGCCTCGTAGGTATGCGCTCCAAGTGCAGCGAACAACGTAATATGCTCATCGCGCGGTGCTTACGATTTCAGGAGGCAAACGCCCAAAGTTGCTCTTCGAAACTGTTGCGTACGGTATATATTATGTATATAACGCTGCTAGGCAACCAAACGGCCCCCGCGAATAATCTTCTCTCGAGTCGTGCGGGCCAAGTTCCCACCGGTTTATTAACCCGACGCGGAAACCAATACACGCACCGACGAGTCTTTCCCTCAAGCTCGGCTTCCGATTCCCGAGGCTCTCGAGTTGTAACTTGGACGTAGTTAGCGGTAAGTATCGCGCGCGAGACAACATTCCGAGACAGCTCGTCGGACGAGATAATGCGAGTCGAGTCCTTTGTTTTTCTCCCCCCACGCGCGCGCTATACCTACACCCGCGTGGGGGCGAGGCTTCATCAACGGCAGTTTGATCCCATTTGGCCGCTCAGCGGAAACTAATCTCCACGCAATTTAGCCGGAGCACGAGGGCCACCTATTAACCAATCCCCTCCCCCCCTCTCGACTTCCGTTCACGCGTGGAGGAGGAGATTTATCGATCGCGCACCTATCGCCATCGGTTGTATTACAATATCCGCCACCTGCTCTTAGGTATATATGTATGCCTGTAAGTTATCGGGGGGGACGTTCACCTATACTTGCCCCCACGGCAACAGTACACCCGGGAACACTCGAATCGATGCTGTTCCTACGTACACCCGTGCCGCATTGTTACCTACGACTACACGTAGATGGTTTGCGTTGGGTAAACTTGGCTTGTCCGACCCAAGCATTGATCTGTACTACTGGCGCGTCGATCGTCATTCCGATGAGGATATTTTCAGTTTTTCAAGGAGAAAGGTCGATGATGTAGTTTCATACGGTAGAGGGCAGTGTTGAGTATCTGTTGCCACGAGTGGGGCCTGCTAGCGGTCGAGCGCCAAAGAAAAGAAAGTCACAAGTGGAGTGAAAACAAGAGGAGGAAAGAGAGGGTTGATGGGCAGAGTAACGAGAGCGGGAGGGCTGAATGGAGAAAAAGGGAAGTGGATCGGAGCCTGTAGGGAGCAGCGGGAAGGTCGTACGGGCGGTGGGTGTGAGTTACTTACAGCGCACGTTGAGGAAGTAGCCGATGCTCGTGAAAATGCCGAGCGGGTGTCGCGTGTAGCACTTGTACCAGCCGCCCTCGGCCCGGCTGATCTTTGTGAAGTTGAGCCATCCGTCATCGCTCTGCTCCACCGGGGGCGGCCCATTGTCTGAAACAAAGAGAACAGCTCGGAGTAGTCGTCTTTCTTCCACCCCCTCTGCTTTTGCTCATTTCTCTCCCTTCTCTTATTTGCCGATTTAGCCGTGGCTTTTCTCCCTGGGGCGAAACAACAAATACATATACACACAAGACCGAATAACCGATAACAATACATTTTATCTTTCCCGCGACCAATTCTCATTCTCTCCTCTAACTAGGTACTTATTTCTCTTTTATGGCCGTGCCCGCGAAAATTAAACGTCACGAGATGTAATATTTTTATCCACGCCCCTCCACCCCACGGAAAATGTTTTTCAATTTCTCGCAAATGGACTTGGTCGTGGAGCTGGCTTTTTAGGTGTATAAACGCGTTTTAAACGAAATATTGTGCTTCCCTCGCAAGCTAGATGGTACGAAACACTTGAGCTCCAAGTAAAGAAAAGGAAATCGGACGATGGTGTTCACGATGTACAGTGAAGAATAAAAAAAAAAAACAACTTATTGGACACCGAGTTAAAATACATTAGTCGTCTTCTTCAACTTTATGTAATCGTGTATTACGAACCCACTGGTGGAGGAAAGAAATCGCAACAAAAGGAGAGCCGAAGAGGTGATTCGATTTGCCCCACCCGAGCTCTAATTAAAAATTGATTACGCGGATCCAAGTCGTGGCGATGATAATAATAATCACTCGTTTCTCCGGTACACCAGTCGTGATCGAGTGATTCTCAGACACTCGCAACAGTGGCCGGAGGAGAAACGCAGCGTCAGTCGCATTATTGATTCCCGAGGGACGACTCTCGCGCGGCCATATCGGACGAGGCGAATTGAAAAATTCATCCGTCAGTCCCGTTGCCTTTCGCGAGAGCCAAGGAGGGGGGGGGGGAAGTCAGCGCACCCCCCGTTATTAACGACTGACGCGCCGGCTCCGCCGATAGGTGGATATTGGAGAATCTTAATTGCGACGAAAATCATTTCCTCGACGCTCGGAATTGTCGTCGTTTTGTTTTTTTTTTCCTTTTGGGGGATACCGGTGGCGTTTAAAAATTTATAGAAACAGAGAGGAAAAAAGTAAGCATCATACTAAGCGTTTCCGCGCGTCCACTCGTTGAATATTTAACGAGCTCGAGAGGGCCCGGCGGCAATCAATGCGCCATTGTGCAACGGAGCAACATCGACGTCTCCTGATTTAAAAAAAAAGACATGAATCATTTTAACGAGCGAGCCGTGTATCAAAGTCAAAGCTCAAGGTAAAGAAAAAAAAGTGCCATTTACACGGGAAGGCGTAGGCACGCGTCGAGAGCTTTGAGGCGCTCCGTGACGGTAATTTCATTGTTAATGGAAGCGGTTGCGCGAGCGAGTGTACACCCGACCTACGTAGACGTTCCCGCACGGGTGTATTTTTTCATCGCGCGTTTCGCTTCGCGTGTACACTTGGAAAGGAGCTTTTAGCACTCCGTTTAATGCAATGGCAAGCGTTACGCGATTAAAAGAGCGGCAACTCCCGGTGATGCGCACTACTCCATCGACGTTATCCTTTCATCCGGCCCCTTCGTTTGTTCGCTCGAGTATAATCTCCTTATCGCAGGTAATTACTGTCTTGTACGAGGGGTATATATGACGCGTATACCCACTCCGTACATCGCGCGTCCACCTCGCTTCTAATTTCCAATGAATAATCACCCCCCCCCCTCTGCCCTCCGTTAAGAGGATAAAGCGCCAACTCTCTCTCTCTCTCGGACCGTCGCCGCGTTATCACTTTCCGTTTCTTATTTCACGCTGCACCTTTCTTTTCTCCCCTGCCCTTTTTTTTTTTTTTTTTTTTTTTTTTTTCATTAA